ACACACACACACACACACACACACACACACACACACACACACACACAGAAACGAGCTCCGCGATGCCCTGCGCAGCACAAGCCTGGGCCCACGAGCACCAAAGCCTGTTCACTCAACCCACCTATAGTCACTGTTCCTGGCTTATTTCCATAGTTCCAATGAATAAGCTAGATCTATTAATACTTATGTTGAATGTATTTTAAATATCATATTTGTTTCTTTTCAGTCATCATCCCTCAACATCCCTGAAGAAAAAAAGTTTTCAAAGATGTGAACATGTTAAGTAGAGATGGGCCGGGGATGAGGGACACTGGGGTGCGGGTGTGAGTGCGTGAGGTGGTGAACGAGGTCGGGGGCGGGGAAGGGGACAGAGAGACAGAGGGGGAGGAGCAGTGGGGGGGAGGGGGGGTAAGAGGGTGAATGAGAGGCAGGTGATGGGATGGACGCTGACTCCCGAGAGGGCAGTCACTCCCGTGAAGGCCACACTGCATGCTGGCACCCAGACACAGTGACTCAGAAGACACAGTGACTCCCTGAACCGGCCAGGACACTCCCTCTTCTTCTCAGAAATTCTCATTCTCAGGCCCAAGGGCCCATTTCCCACCACTATCAGCACACCCAGTGTGCCTGACCCGCTGGGTATCTGCAGACTGCTGGCAGCCACAGCCCTACGGCCAGGGGCTGGGTGGACCGATTCTACTTTTCCACCTTAAAGCCAGCCACACACAAAGCTTTAACAGCTTTGAGATAAAAAGTCTACAAAGCTGCAGTGCACTGTGGAACTCTAGTCCCTGGGCCTGGACCTCTGTGTGTTGCTCTAAACGTTGTTGTGCCTGGACCCCTGGCTTCAGAATCATGCATGCCCTTAGCATAGAGGTGCCCAGCCCAGCCCCACCTCACTGAACCTGACTTCGGGGCTGGGCCTGCGAACTTGGATTTTAACCATCTCCCCAGGGGATCCTGAGGCCCCTCTGCCCACCCAGACGCCCCCCTTTTTCCTTCCTGTTCCCCCCACGCTGGAGAGCAAAGACGCCCTCCTCTCCCCGCTGGGGTAGAGCTACTCTCTACATGCCAACGCGTCTCCAGTTCATTTCCTGCTAGGTATTCACCAGCCAACAGTGAGACCACAAGAGCTGCCTTGCAGACCAAGGTCTCAGGAACCTCGCAGATGTCACATCAGCTTCATGGCACACAGTGTGAAATTGCTACCCAGAGCCACAAAGAGGAAGTTCAGACAAACTCAGAGGCTGTGAAGGGTGGGCCACTGGGCCTTAGCAACCAGGAAAGTCAACAGGATTTGTTTTCATTTCGAGAAGAAATATCAAAATATACACTCTTTTCCACATGTGGTTTTGTTCTCCTTTTTTATTGTGTGAGGGGGTGGTGGAGAGCTGACTAAAGTAGATTTGACACCCTTGATTCTAATCCTATCACCCCAGATCCAGAAAACTTTCTCTTAGCCTGGTGTATGTACATCTGGATCTGTATGTACTACCCTTTCTAGGCATCTAGAAAACACTCAGCTTCAAATTTCTTTTCCTTTGTTATACCTTAAACCACTATTACATAAATCTCTTATGTGTGTAATTCCTAGAACCAAGGTAAATGTGTCAACTTTATTTTGGAATCAAGCAGTTAACTTCCTTTCCATATTTACCATCCCTATGCCCCTACTAACCACCATCCCTCAAAACAAAAGAAAACAAACAAAACTCTCAATGGCCCTACACGTTCCATGTCAGTCCCTGTAAGACAGTATGCTTTCATTCAGGTATCAATTTAGTTCATTTCTGAAATGCATCTGGCTTTTCATAACAAAAGTGGAAAGAAAAGGAGAGGGAAAGAGACAGAACTCACGAGGTGGGAGTGTGGAATGAGAAAAGGAAAATATGACACAATAAAAGAGAAATGGAGTAAATGACCAGAGCTCTTTCCAGCTCTGCAAAGAATTGTTACCCTCAGATACACAGAACAAACTAGTGGGTACCAGAGGCGAGAAGAGTGAGAGGGGGGACAAAATAGGTGAAGGGGATTAAGAGGTACAAACCACAAAATAAGTCATAGGGATGTAACGTACAGCACAGGGAATACAGTCAATATTTTATAACTTTGTATGGTGTGTAGTCTATAAAAATATCAAATCACTGTGTTGTACACCTGAAACTAATATTTTAAGTCAACTATACTTCAATTTAAAAAAAACAATTGTGACCCTATCAAACAATATAATAAAAGAACAACTACAAGAATAATAACCCAGCACTGTGTGCCAGATAGTGTGCTAAGCATTATCTATTAATTAATTCATTTCATCTTCACAACTACATCATGAGGGAGGTATACTCTCATTATCCCATTTAGCAGATGAGAAGATCAAGGCTCAAACAGGTTAAGTACCTTGTCCACAGTTACAGAGCCAGGATCTGAACCAAGCAGTCTAATGCTTTGCCCTCAAGCACAAAGCCACGGGAAACGTTGGAGATACTGCGGCCCCCAGAGAGCTCGTGTTGACCACCCACGTCCCTTGCCATCAAAAGGGACTAGACGCTCCTGCAAGGCCTTCAGTGAGCTCTTGCCTGGGATCAAATGAGGGCGAATGATAAAGAGCTCTGTGAAACCTAAAGTGCTTCCTAAATATGAGGGCTCAGAACACCACTGTAGGCAAACAGCCAATCCAAAAACAGGAATCCAATAATGGCCAGTGGTTCTCCACATTTTTTTCTGCCTCTAAATACCCAAGAGATGGAAAGGCAATGAGTTTTGTAAAAGAACACAAAAAGCACTAATCACAAAAAATAAGGATAAATTGGACTTCACCAAAATAAAGAACTTCCAGTCATCAAAAGGTACTATTAAGAGAGTAAGAGAAGATGTTTGTGATTTTTATCTCCAGCGAGGTGAATATCCAGAATATGCAAAGAATGCCAACAAATAAATAGGAAAAAAATGAACGACCCAATTAATAAAATGGATAAAAGACTTGAATAGGCATTTCATAAAAGAGGACACACCAGTGGTCACAAGCATAAGAAACAGGGTGAACATGATGACTCATTAGGAAAATGCAATTAAAACCACAATGAAATAAAACAAATACCTTCTGAATGGAGAGCATTCAAAAGACCACCAATAACAAGTACTGGCAAGAATGCAGAGTTGCTGAAACTCTCATACATTGCTAGTGAGAGAGTACAGTGATAAAACCACGTTGGAAATATCTACTAAAACTAAATGGACACCTGCCTTCTGATCTAGTAATTCTACCTCTAGATGTATCCCCTAGAGAAATGAGCGCATACATCCACCAAAAGACACATTCGAAAATACTCAGTTTTATTCATAATGGCCACATTTTGCAACAACAAAAAGCCAAATACCCATTCATAAAAGAATAAACTGTTGTATATTTAAACAATGGAACAACAAAACAACAACAAAAAAGAACCAACTACTGCAACAACATGAATGAATCTCATACACTTAACAATGAGGGAAAGAGGGCTTCCCTGGTGGCGCAGTGGTTGAGAGTCCGCCTGCCGATGCAGGGGACGCGGGTTCGTGCCCCGGTCCGGGAAGATCCCACATGCCGCGGAGCGGCTGGGCCCGTGAGCCATGGCTGCTGAGCCTGCACGCCCGGAGCCTGTGCTCCGCAACGGGAGAGGCCACAACAGTGAGAGGCCCGAGTACCACAAAACAAACAAACAAAAAATAATAATAATAATGAGGGAAAGAAGCCAGACATAAAAGACTACCAACGATGTGATTCCATTTATATGATGTTCAAATACAAAAGTCATCTGTGGTGACTGAAGTCAGAACAGTGATTTTGTCTTGGGGAAGGAGTAGGGGCCGTGAGTGGGAAGCAGCCCAAGGAGACCTTCTAGGGTAACAGAAATGTTCTACAACTTGACCTGGGTGGTCACGCAGGTGTGTGTGTGT